TTTTTTTTTTTTTTTTTTTTTCTTAAAAATCTTTCCAAACTAATAAAGTCATCATCGAATTGTATTATTGTCTTTCCGATGAAGATTTAAATGATTAAGATTAAGATTAAGATTAAGATTAAGATTAAAATTAAAGATTAAGATTAAGATTAAGATTTTGATGAAGATGAGAATGTGGTTGAATATGAAGATGAAGAAGGGAGCAAAGGGAAGCGTGCAAAATGAAGGATGTCGTCTTGGAATGATGGATGCCCTCGGCCCTTCTTCTTCTTCTTCTTTTTCTTTTTCTTTTTCTTTTTCTTCTTAGCATTACAGGACGCAGACTGGACGCATACTTTGCCTTCTTCTATTCTAATCTGATCGGCAAGTTTGGAATGCATAGAAGGGTCAACTTTCGTGTGTCTAACTATTTTTCTCTTTAACGTACTTTGTCTTTCTCACGTATATACAAACACATTTACACAGATATATACACGTGGAGAGACAAATAAACAAACAAATAAATAAACATAGATACGAAGCGCGCGCACATACACACACACACACACACACATACACACATATACATTTATGTATGCACGTATGCACACACGTCGTCGTCTTTATCTCATTTAAATAAATTTAATTGTAACGTAAAAATGGATAGAATTTTTCTTTTCTTTTTTTCTTTTTCCTTTTTTTTCTTTTTTTTTCTTTTCTTCTCTTTTCTTTTCTCTTCGAAAACGTTTAGCCAATCCAAACGACGACGTATATTCGTAATTTTTTTTTTTTTTATCTCGGTACATTTCTTTCTTCTTTCGTTTCTTCTTTCTTTTTTTAACTACTGCGAACATCTTGCAATAAAAAAAAAAAAAAAAAAAAGAAAAAATTTCTTTCGGCATTCGTTAGATTTAAATTTAAATTTGAATTTGAATTTGAATTGATTTTATTATGTTCGAGTGAGATATTATTCGTTGAAAGATTTCTAAGGAAAATAAATAGGACGAGAAGAAAGGATAATAAATTTTATTAGAGAAAAGAAGAAGAAAAAAAATAAAAGAAAGAAAGAAAAGAAAACAAAAGTAATAATAATAATAATAATAATAATAATAATAATAATAATAATAATAAAAATAAATAAATAAATAAATAAAAGGAAATAGAAAAAAAAAATTCTTCTTTAACTCGTGCATAAATCCTTGTCAATATCGCAACCCTTTATATTTACACTTCGTAATTCTTTTATCTACAATTAAATCTCATATAATAATTCGAATAATTTAATATTTCATGCAAAATCGATCGTTCAAATTTATTAGAAAATTTGTTAGAAAATTGATTGGAAAATTTGTTAGAAAATTTGTTAGAAAATTTGTTAGAAAATTTGTTAGAAAATTTGTTAAAAAATTCGTTCGTAGAAAATTTGTTAGAAAATTTGTTAGAAAATTCGTTCGTAGAAATTTATTTGAAGATTCGATTGATCGATCGATCGATCGATCAATAAATGAATTTATTATTAATGAAATATAATTATTTCCATATCTCTCTCTCTCTCTCTCTCTCTCTCTCTCTCTCTCTCTCTCTCTCTCTCTCTCTCTCTCTCTCTCTCTCTCTCTCTCTCTCTCTCTCTCTCTCTCTCTCTCTTTCTCTTTCTCTCTTCTTTCTCTGCCTCTTTCTCTGTCTAACAGGTAAAAAAAGGTACCAAAAGACATATATATATATATATATATATATATATATATATATATATATATATATTTAGCATCATTCCAATAACGTTACGTTATTTACTTTCAATGCTTCTCCTTTTAACCCATTAATCAATGTCCTTTAACATAATTAATTAGTCAGGATCAATGTTTTGGCAGTCACGTTTTTTGGTTACGAAATTACGATGATGTAACACGCACCTATATAACATTAGTATGAGAAAATTTAAAAACGAGAATTCGGAAATTGTAGTTATGAATATTATGAAAGAAAGAATGAATGAAAGAAAGAAAAAGAAAGGAAAAAAGAAAGAGAGAAAGAAAGAAAGAAAGAAAGAAAGAAAGAAAAAAAGAGTTCTATCTCGTGAAATCTTTCGGTCTTTCGAGAGATCATTATCCTTTATTGAACTCTTTGAATTGGCATAATCGCTCATTGAAAAAGATATTATGTATATATATATATATATATATGTTACGTTCGTACCGTCGAAAAATCGAAAGAAGAAAGATAAAGAGAAGCAAAAAAAAAATGAAAAATATATATATATATATATATATATATATATATATATATATATATATAAAGAAGAACGTATATCTCGGAGGCGAGGTCGCCTGTTAAAAAAAAAAAAAAAAAAAAAAAAAAAAAAAGAAAAAAAAAAGAAAAAAGAGAGTAAACGAAGGAAAAAAAAAGGATAAAAAAAATAAAAAGCAACAACAAAACAAAAAAGAAAAGAGTTACTTCACGAGTGCGAAATGTGGTATGAACCTAGCGATATTCGTCAAGTTTTCTTTCTTTCTTTCTTTCTTTC